GGCTAAATGATACAACTGGTTTTAGGTCTTCCACTCTGCTGCTTGGCCCGTGACATTTGAGAGAGATTCTCAATGTATGAGAAAGGAGTTAACACAGAATGGTTTAAAAAGACATGAAAACTGACTTCACTGCTGCAGCCATTTGCTACGAACTAATTAAGCTGCATCTCTCATAACAGATGGGGCTACGTAGAAGCAGACGAGCCAGGAAACATTGGAACCTGACTCTAACCGGGCATTTTGTTCATGCATCAAGAATGAATCTCTTGGCATTGTCTTCTCTCTCCTATCGACCTTAGAATTCAGTACAGATCCTTTTCTGCATATGGGCTAACAGCTCGACTGGGCTTGAAAGACTGCAAGTCAGATGCTTTGCCAAGATGGACAAGAGACCTCAGAAAAATACAGTCGGTGCCAGTAATCATTTCAACTGAGTTGCAGCCAGAGGTGGAAATCCTCTAGATTCTTTGCATGTGAATCATAGGTTGATATTTGCCTCGAAACAGAGCCAGCTTTTTTTTTGTTTTGTTTTAATTTAAGCTATGGGTAGAAGTGAATAAGGCAGTAAAAAGATCGTTTAAAAAAATGGGGAGGAATTGGGGGTAGCGGGGGAAAGAGGGGACAGGGAGTTGGACCAGGGACACCATAAGCCATAAAGGCAAGACTTGGATATCAATGTCAATGTAAGCTGGTTGTAGTCTCTCCACTGAGCAAGTCTGGGGTAAAATCAAAAGCTTCATTGATACACACAGTACAAGCAGGGAAAGAAGCTGCAACTTCAGTGCCATAAAAAAAACGCAGGACTGACAATATTATTAACAGGCTCTTTGAAGAGCTGCAAGGAAAGCAAACATGGGGAGAAACAAGTGAGAAATGTATTTGGTAGAAGTTAGATCAAGGTAAAATGACTGCAACTGGCTCTATTTGAGCCCTGCATCTTGACTGTGCAGTTAACTTGAACCCTATATCCACACAGAGGAATCTTTTGCTCAAGTGTTACTAACCCCCGTTGGCTGGCCTACTAAGGATGTGGTTACAGCTCGAGTGAACAGACTCAAGCTGCTAAACCCTCTTTAAGCTCAGTTTATTGCAGCTGCGCTGCTCTCACCTGAGTTAGCCTCACCTGAGAGAAGTGAACGATGTATGCTTGAGTTACCGCGGCAGCAATGCAATAGCCATCCAAAGTCTGCAGGCTTCTAGGGCTGTGTTGAGTACAGGAAGATAAAGTCACTGAACCTGGGCTTTACACCCTGCGCTCATCATAACCCTGTTCTAGATGCAATTCAAGGTACTGACTCTACCCTCCAAACTCTTCAACACAGCCAGCTCAGTGGGGCCACTGGCCTTATGAGAGTGGGGGCAGCACCCTAAGGGTACAAGACTGCTCTATTGGCTCCAAGAAATAAAATCAACTGTTCACACAGACACCATCCCCATTCCTCCAGAGATAACCCAGGACATGCATGAAGGCAGCTGAGGGAGCTGTGGTCACTAGTGCAGGGGAGAACACTAGCGGATATGATAATGTGCATGTTGATACAGATAAGCCCCTTTCAGAAGTATGGACTTTATGAATGAACTCAAATCCATTCCACTGAGGGGTTGTGGAGGGGGCAAGACTGGTCCCCACCAGAAGTATCAAAACACATCAATGAGAAATTCCAGTTTCCTCTCTAACTCCCCAGCTGTGGGAGAAGCAGGGAGGGACAATGGGTTTTGGCAGCAGCATAGTCCACTTTTTCCATACCTCTGGATTTTACTGAGCATTCAACTGTCAATTCAGAACTAATCGGCCAGTTCTCTCATCTGGTACCTGTGGCAACAATGACCACATATACTCAGTGCGAGACTGCAAAGGAAACGCACCACACCAAATGCATGTTTCATATACATATTTATATATATTTCATGTACAAAGTTACATTCTGAACCCCAAGGATTCAATAATAGAAATAAATACTGAAATAACTACACTGCTATATGAGCTTCCTGCTCACAGAAAAGAAGCCTCAAGTTTTTAACAGACAGCAAGTTTAACGCTGTAGTATCCATCTCGGGTTACAGAGGCGAGTAAAATTCAGCGTAAAGTGTCTAACAGACAAAAAACTTCCAAAAAATTACAGACCATAAAATGTTTAAAATAGATTTAAAAGGTTGAGAAATGTGCAACAAAATTAATAAAGGAAACTTAATTTTGTTAGAGGGAAGGAGCGACGTTTAGTGTATAGAAAAAAAAATGCTTTGAGGTGCAACACAGGTTGTTACAATATGGCATAACCCTGTTAGAAAAAACCATTTAACTTCACCAAGAGCTGTATTTAGTTGACTGTGTCTCATTTTACAGAAGAGGGTCTTTGTAAGACCCCCACCTCAACAGGGTCACTTACAAGAGTGCTAAGTCAGGTTTAATCCTTTGGTAACTTTTATAATACTCACATGGAAATAAATATTCAGTTACACAGCATTTTAAAAAGACACGTTCTTTAGAACAGTTAGTATAATAAAACAGATTTAACATGTGTTCGTTACTAAGGCAGCCTATGATAAAGTGTCTACACTCTGCCAGCTCTATCTGATCCGATGCAGGAAGACCTTGACAAGAAATGAACAATACAGCGGCTTATATAATTCATTTTACCTTTACCATGCAAACACACTTATCCAGACAAGTAATGTGCTGCATATTTTTTGTGCTCGAAATGTTTTCAAACGATTAACAAGCTGTAACTATCAAGAGCTTCATTCCTATTTATATGATGCTTAAAACCACATGAGCGTGATGCATAAACACGTTCTTGAGACTTGGGTTTTCAGGAGGATATTGACATCTCGATACATGGTTTTGACGTGCTTTACCCACCCTTCAAAGTGACCCGGAGCAGGGAGTTTATAAATCCCAGTGCACTGTGATGAGAAATACACATCTCCAACACCTACTATTCTTTAGGACGGGGGAGGAAACTTGAAATGAATCAATGCAGGGTAGTGCACAAACCCCTTGTCTATACCCAGTGGTACTAGAATTATAGCTAGTGTTTTCTTCAAAACCCCTCCACTACTGAACAGAAACATTTCTGTCTCTGTAAACACCCTGCAAGAGCTGGTCCATTGAAGTAACTGGAATGACACAGTGTACCAGATACATTTGGCAAAAGACTAGGTAAGCACTTGCCAGACACGTCTGCTCTATTTGACAGCAGTGAAGCAGTTTAGAGAAACAGCTCACTAATAAGTACAAATCAAATACTAGAATAAAGATCCAGGGAACAGAATTGTGCGTTTTTTTTTCTTCTGAGACCATGAGTGTGACAAGCCACTGGTGAGTAAAGCTTTGGAGACAGTTTTCAAATGGCCAGTGTGTTAAACTCAAATGGAAAGACAGCAGGAGTAATAAAACTGCACCACTCAGTGATGCATTTTGCACTACCATTACAGTTTAGTCAACATTTTTCTTAGACACCCAATTTCACGAGTTATAACTCAAAAATGTGCTTGAAGTTCAGCATACAAATCTATATATATTTAAAATAAGTTTTTATAACAATGTTTGATTTTATGTACTTGTATCATTTTTTTTTTTTAAAAGTTCCCGGGTTTTAGCTTTAAGCCAAAGCAATTTAAGAGTGATTTTTAAAGATGAAAATTGGGAAATTAATTTGTGAACATGCTCTCACCACTTTTGGCATCCTGAAGAGAAAAATACTAGCAAGATATTAGACATTTTTCATAAGGATTTTACTACATAGTTCATGTCCTAAATACATATTTACGCAAGGAACAGCCATGTACAAAATATGCTGCTTAAAAAGTATTTATACATATAAATCTAACCAATAGACCTGAATGGAGTTTTTCTGGCTTATCAAATATGATATGCATTTGAAAAAGCTGCCTAAATATATATTTACACAATAGACCTCAGCTAAATGTGTTCATTTAAAAAAATTAAGAAAATATATAAACACATGTTTGCCTGATAGACCAGAACTGCTCCTATTGCATAAAAATGTTTAGGCAGTTTTAAAAAAAGTGTTTCTAATATTTACTCCTCTGAAACTATTCCAGTCTCTCACTGTCAAGTTGTTCATTTCTCTACTAATCTGTCAGGAACGGTCCCAATCATTTAGGGGTACATGTAAATATTTGTTTAAAAAGGCTTCCTAAACTCGTACTTCCCAGAGACTAAGTTAAGGGACAAACTGGATAAATATTACACATCTGAAAGAAATAAATATAAAGTTCTGATATCAATGCAGGAGATTCAAAGTAAAAGGAAGACGTACGATCTTACACTCACACTGCTGTAGTTTTATATATATATATATATATATATATATATATTGTGAGTAGGCAGAGAGTCAGCCTTGATTCTGGACTCTCCTGGCTTTTGTCAATTTATTCAGTCTTATAGTGTTATTTCATCTGCTGTGGCAGTCTTCTCTCTAACCAGCAGTACTTCACTGCCTAAATAGGGGTATGAAAACTAAAATGTACATATTTTGTGCCTAATTACATAGAGCTAAAGTTCTTCTTCAATCTCACTAGTGCCAAACGGATTTCCCTGTGTGTATCAATCATTTCTCTAGCTCTAATTGAGGTCTGTAACCTCCACAACTACATAGTGCCTCATGAGTTTGACCAGGCAGAGAAGATTACGCCTGGGGGTTAGGATATATATGGATTTAAGACATGAAGGGGGGAACAAAAGAAATCACATCTCCCGCTCACGGATTTTACAACTTATTTCCAATTTTAAAATAATCTCAACATCTAAGAATGTCCTTTGGAAAAAAAAAAAAATCACTGAGATGTGACAAGTATCCATGGTAGGAGAATGGAAAAAGCCTGTTGAAGGCAGCAGCTCTCTAATGTTAGAATTCTTCAGCAAACAAAACCTTACATTTTTATTTCGATATCATTGTTCTTTACAGTCTCCTCTTTCCCCAGGAATCTTGATGAAGATGGCAACCAAAACTGTAGACCACTATAAACAAGATTAGTCGGGTTTGACAAAGAAAGTGAAAGTGTACAGTTATTTTAGCCCTCACTGCATGTCTGCCTGGATGAATCTCAACAATTCACCTGACATTAGCTGGGTAATTTTATAATGCCGAGGGAATAACTTTGCTGTTTTACTCAAATGTTTCACAGAAATCAAGCTGAGCTGTAATGAAGTTTCTCTCAATGGACAGAAGTGAAACTATCAAGAAAGTGAGCTGATTAGATGGTCGTGATCCAGTGAACTGCGTCTGGATTGCCTCCTATGATGCACACGTTCTGGGAACGGAAACGTTCTTGGACTTCATTATACTGACCTAGGTAACACTGGTGCAGTAAAACAGCACAAGCTAATTCCTGTATAGTTAAGGTCTGACAGAATTGCGATATAAAGTTAAACAGCAAAAGAAATGCTCCAACATCGTGGCGTGAAACAGGTTCCACAAAAATAAAACAAAAAAACATGCAGAATTTTTTTGCGGTCTCCAGCTGCTTCTGAGCGGGCTCACTCGCTGCCGTACATGACTTGCCACACTATCAAGTGACTCCTCTCAGCTTTGGCTACAGAAGGTTCAAGTTGTAGAGCCTCTCCAAGGAGTTCAGATTCTCCACCTTCATCACCTGAGGAAACACAGCTTAGATTCAGTTGGAGAACAATGAATGTAAACCGTGACATTAGCACTATACACAGAGCAGGGCTGGAGGGACCCATCCAACGTGATTACATAAGAGGATGCATCAAGAAACAGCGGTTGCCATCTGCACTCCTGGTTATAACAGAATCAGACTCCTTAACAAACATCTAAAAGGCAATGAATTGAGGTTTCCAATACCAGAGCTGCTTTTTCCAGGGGACAAATCAGTAGAAGCCACTCAAATTGAGGTGCTGGTAGATGTGTTTGCAGCACAAATGGATTAAACTACGGTAAATCACCAGGACCAGATAGTAATTGCCTAAGGGTCCTGAAGGACCCCAAGCTCAAAATTGCAGGCCTATTTAAATTAGTATGTAACCTACTGTTAAAAATAGTCTCTGTGCCAAAGAACTGGTGGGTAGCCAATGTAATGCCCATGGTTAAAAAGGGCTCCGGGGAAAGGCAGGCCAGTGAGCTGAACTTCTCTTCCTGGCAAATGGGTAAAAACTATTATAAAAATAGGAGTGTCCATTACATGGCTGAGCTGGACTTGCTGGGGGATCAGCCAACATGGCTTCAGTAAAGGCCTCGCCAGTCATTATGGAAGGCATGTATAAACATGTGGATTAGGGTGATCCAGTTGATCAGACAATATCTGGACTTTCAGCAACCTTTTGATAAAAAGTCCTGCGTGTCTCCCAAGGAGCAGAAGAGATGGTGCCATTTATGAAACAGCAAGGAAGATCTTGCACATGCATGCAAGCCAAACAAAGACAAGAATGCGCTCGTCTGAAAAGACAAGTGGTAACTGAATGCAAATGCTCACTGCAAAGTGTTAAGGTAACTTGTACAGTAGCTGCAACGCTTAGTCTGCTCTGTGCTCCTGTCCTTGTTATTTGCTCCGACTTCTTCGCATTACCTACTCCCTCAAATGGCTCTGCTTCCAGCCAAACCTGCATCACCGCTCTTGAACGGAGATTAACAAGGTCAAAACAAATGGTGATTTTATCGTATGGACGAGTGGAGGCTGAATCTAGACTGCTTGTGACCCGAACCAGGTCTTTGCAAGACGACAAAACTAGGGAAGCAGCCCCCTATAGCATCTGACCACAAATGGAGCCTACTTTGGCACAGTACTAATTAACCCACCCACACAGCACACTGCTCCCAGTTTAGGAGAAAGTCTGTACAGAGCAGCATGCACTGCGAGGGCCCCATCACCCAGAGTGGTATGCTTGCACTGTTATTATGTTGAAGCTACAGAAGCATTTCAATGCATCCTGGTGTGGGATCACAGTGAAAGCAAAATAGTTTGAAACAAATGGGCAGTTCTAAAGTTAAACTACTTAAGGCAAATGATGACAGAGGAAACCAAATACTGCTTATTCTTAGCTTAAGCCTCAGTCAGACATTCCTGTTTTTTTTTACCAGATAGTGGAATGTCAGAATTGGTGCACGTCTTCCTTGACTGCGACACTGTTCTTGTTATCTGAGGTATATGAAGTTGCCAGAAGGTAAAGTGGCCTAAATAAGACCCATCCGTCATGTGATTAGTTTATCAGCCCCATTTTTTTTTCCTTGGTGACCTCTAACTTACAGCTCTGAAACTGTAATGTCTTACGTGTAAGACACTGTAATGTCTTACGTGCTGTTATAATCTTGATTAGGTGAAAGTGTTGCATGCTGTTGGCTGGGCTGCCACAGATACCCATCTATTAAACTGAGGAAAGAACATGAAGGATTCTAAACCATTACTCAATTCATGTATTTCTTGCCCTAAAGCTTTTAATGTTGATAACTCTTTCTTTATAACAGATGCCAGTTCCTTACTGGTTGAATCAGTGCAAACTAGTTACTGGAAAAAAAGACGGGCCAGCAAAAACTTTTGCATGAAAAACAACATGTGCCATCACAGAGGACATTCCGGTTTTCTGCTACTCTGTCCTCTATTGATACAAAACCAGACGCCTTTATGTCCTCTATTTTTCTCTTCAAGACACAAAGGCGTCTGGTTTCACATCAATAGGGGACAGAGGACAACCGGACTGTCCTCTACGATGGCCACCCTAATGTGCATAGATCCTAGCACTCTCCTTTACTGACAGATCAGATTGAATGTGGTCCAAAATTTTCCTAAAAAGGTTTATGGAATATGTAAAAACCCAAAATTATAACAAAGGTAAATTAAGTTCAAGGTACATGTTCTAACAGCGTAAGACAATAAAAAAAAAGGCCTGGGGGCTAGGAAAACCAGGCTTCAGGAACATCTACATCCTGCTTGGACAAAGCCTCTTAACTGAATTCATTTGGTTTATCCACCTCCTCTTTTCCATGTCCCAGTTCAAAGTCATTACAGAAAACACTTTCCATATACACCCACTCAAGTAGTTACCATCTTCAGCTTACATAAAGGGTTTTATCCCAGAGGTGGCTACGTTGCAAGAGATGGCACAGACTGTAGTATTCATACCTAGAAATTTGTAGTATTGACTGAGTGCGTGTGAAGGCTTGATGGTCCAAAGCCTTCTGGATACCAAGATACTCATCTAACGACTTACTTTATTACTAACCATGGCTTGTCTGCATTCATTCCACGTAAGTGCATTTATCCAGATAAATCCACATACATGGAGACATTTTCTCTGTCTTTAATATCTGATGTTAGATTTATCTTTTAATAAGAAGCTACAGCAAGTCATTAATCAGATCATAATGAGCCATATACAGAACAAAAACAGTTTGAGAGACTACGTCTCTTACCCATCCTGAAGTCGATATAGCCCTCTCCTCCACTTATAACCAACATAGATTTCAAGGAAGTCTGGCTGAAGGCTTCTTGGCCAGTTTTATCAGCTGATATTTCAGATCCTCCACTACTCTGTGGACAAGCAACCTGACCTGTATTAAAAAAACAAACAAACAACCCCCCCAAAATAAATAAAAAATTGTTTTATTCAACACCTTACAAATGAGGGACCCTCATAAAAGGAGTTGATGAGATACCAACACCGCAATAGTCTGAAGAAAAAAAAAGGCTAATAATGCTTGTCCATGAAAATTAGTTAAAAATTGATTTTTCTGTAGGCAACTAAGAAACCATGAGCGTGACACGACAATTAGTGGAAACTAAACAGGTGACTTAATTTCTGAATGAACCAGTGCAATTGTTTTGTCTGCCGATACCCTGAAGAATATAGCACGTTCAGTTTGATTACTTCACTGCATTTGGAACTAAGTATGTTCAAAAGAGCATCTTTAGCACTAAGTAAATAATCCAGCTCTTGCTTTCCTCAGGGCAATACAGCTGTGCACACACACGCACACATACACACATTCACTTGGGACACGCACCTGGCATTCCAGGATCTAAAAATATTTATATTGCTTTTCAAACCAAGATTCTCTTTCAGTGGAGTCGCACTCTATCATAAGTGCTTCATTCATATCAAACACAGTAACCCCTTCACACCAAGGACTGGGAGAACCGAAGCCAAGTTTTTAAAATTATAGTTGTCCTAGTCCATTTGCATCTCACCACCTTTTTTCAAATAACTAAATGTTCCACTGCTCCCTTCACCACTGCACTACAACTTCCCAGGAACAAACAAGGCAATTCCCAGGCCATTCTTGTGCCACTGTCCACTGGGGGGTATCTAGTTTGAGAAGCAGAACTCTGAACATGGGATTTCTCATACTTGTTCCTATGTGGAGTTGCCAAGGAGGGAACTAAGACTGGGGGAAACTCAATTTAAGAACAAGCGCACAATGCTTACCAGGTACTGCAACAAAAAACTTAACGGCATCACGGTGCCCATGGAAGCAAAGCTGTGCGTGTGCCATGGAACAATATGGGATGAATGTCCCAGGAGTCACTTTGTCACTGTTTTCATCACCGTATACACGTATCACACTCCCAGGACGGTTTCCAGAACCTGATGTGGTTTTATTAGCTGTAAGAGAAGAAAGAACAAAAGTATTTTCTACTTGAAGATGCAGGCTGCAGGAGTGGTTATTTGTTAGGAAACCTTATGGTACCATCTAAAAGCTAAAGCCAACTCAGATAAAATGAAACAGAAGGGCAGCAATGCCAATTCAAGACAGAGCTGGAAAGAAAAATAAAAAGACTGCATGCTTAGTTATTTGGAGTACATCAGAAGATGGAGGAGGATTCTTATTAGTCTAGCATAACTGCCAAGTTTTACTTTTCTAAAAAGTACTTTCAATTGACAAACAAATTAAATACCACTTAGTGACATCTCAATGAACCAAATCCTAAAAGAATCCATGTGGGTAATTCCAATTAAACTTTATAAAAGTTTTCTTTAGCAACTGTGATCATAAGGTATCTCAAGCTGACAAAACCCCACTAAAACCAGCCAGATTGGGCACAAAGGAGCTATCCAATCATAATTCTGCGTCTAGTATTTCCTGAGATGTTTTAAAACGCCATTAAGAGAAAAAGTGCTTCAAACTCATGCTAGACACACAAGCCATCTCCATTCCAAAGACTATCAGAGGAGTGAAAGAAATGGTGATTTGTAACAAGCGAGTAAATGATGTGGATTAATGACAAAGTTATGAGGTAGGATATCAACACATTGTCTGGAAGAAAAAAGTCTGTATGAAAGTTCAGCTGCAACACAGGATGATACACTAAACTGCTGAGCAGATTGGTGGCCATTTAGCAAACATAAAACTGCTGCAATGCAGTAACTGCAAGTGGAAAAACATTTAGGAACATACAAAGGGTAAAACTATAGGAGTGGGAAACAGCCTCAAAGTGGCTATTAGAAGCCTGAGAATAGATTTTTGTTCAGGATCTGCACTTACCCCTCAGCCCCAGTAAACGTCCCTGGTGGAGGATTACAGCTAAAGTGAGAAAGGAGGAAAGGGGAAATAGATAGGTATGACAGTAGAGAAGGATTAATGAGAACCCACCACTTTGATATTTGATAAGACTGAGCTTTCAAGTTTAGCTCCTAACTAATTACAGAAGATTCCAACATAATAAAGAGCAGCAACTTGTTATAAAGGTTTCAGTATAAATGGATAAAACAGCTGTGCCGCTTTCCATGTGATTCTTTTTTTTGTCACTCTACAGTTAAATGGCATCAAGGTTTCCCCTTTCTCTCTTTCCATAAAGGGACACCATCAAAACTGAGAGGCAAAACAGTGTTTTAAAGTGTCCTCATGATCCTAAGTCCACCTGCTCTAGAAAGTGATAGCACACTCTAGAGAAGATGCTCAGCTGGTCAATCTGCCAACAGACCAGGGCAGCAACTCTTCACAGCTGAGCATGCACACCAGTTACGCTGTCCTTGTAATCGTGAACGTTTGGAGCGGTACTGACATTTACTGAACTCGGCCTACTCACAAGTACCAAGGATGAAGACAAGAAGGTAACTGTGCCCATGAACAAGAACATTAAGAGGACTAAAATTAAGCCTCCCAGTTTTGACAGAGCCCCTTTCCTTCATGTTCACAATATTCAAAAAGGATCATCTCCACTGAAGTCTAAAAAATTTGATTTTGTTGCAAGCCAAAAGCAACTCTACTTTTTTGAATGCGATTTAGCCATGTCAAGTCCACAACCACGGGAAGCTTGTTTTTCAACCTACACCCCTGTTTTTCCCCAGTACACTTGTGCAATGCAAAAAACAAACACTTATTTAATGGATGATCAATGTAATGGGACAGTGAGAGAAACAATGCGTGTGCTGTTCAACAAAGCAGTTACAACACGACAATTTTTGCTGACATATAGAAGTTTCCTTCTTGAGATTGTTGCAATACTGCGTTTTAACACTACAACTAAATACTAGCAGTTGTCATCTTTGCTTTTCTAAAGGCTCTATTTTGGTGTTTTCTGTAAGAAAAAAACCCTGTGATACTGGCTACAGGCCTAAAATCTCAGCTACTGGATATTCTCTCTGTCAAAACTTTAGATGGGAGAACTTAGGTTTTTAAGACTGAAAAAGACTCATTCATAGTACTTAAGACTTGTTTGGTGCTTGAATGGATGGGGATGGGTGTCTTCCCAGTTCAACTATCCTTTATAAATGACATTCGCTATTCCTAGAAAGCACTTATTTTATTTTTAAAATACCTACCATATATGACAAGAATTCAAATCAGCAGCAGATGCATTTTTTTTTCTAGCACAGACAGACACCCTCAATTTCCAGTGATTGGGCTTTACTTAGAAGCTAAATTACTCCATCTGAAAAATGTGGTTACAGCTCCTAAGCTTTGTCCGCCTTCTTTAAAAGCAGCTCAACAATGCTGCTTCTCACATTGGTCACATCTAGGGAAAGAGGCACTACCAACTGTGCAAGGGATTCTGGAGAGACACCCAGGCTGTTTTCACTGGAGTTGCTACAGCACTTACTTGACCACAGCAATTTTTTAAGCATGAATTGAGTGCTTGTATGAAGTGCCTTGTCATGACTGGAGAACAAATTCCTTCATTTTTTTCTGGACAATGGCACCACCACCACCACCATCCCTGCTCCTTTGAAGGGTTCAGTCTCCATGTCCAGTTAGTCCACAGCTTCTCTGCTCAGAGTCCAGATACAAGTGTCTTTTGTCATGGAGTGTTTTGTACAGAGAGCTGTCTGCCAGGAAATAAGATGCTACACCTAAGGAAAGCTAAATATCCCTTGGATACTAACCTGAGGCAGATTCAGCCCCAAGGTGAAATTCTCCATATCCATACCAAATTATCAAATGTTATCTCCTATTTTATTCTTACAACTACAGTGTAGCTGCCTAGTGCTTTTGGAAATACAGGGAGGGCCATTCGTTTACATTTTACTTACTTTCTGTTAATGGAATGGAGATGATGACACCATTTCCTGTCCCCACCCATAAACGATTACAAGACACCATAAGAGCTGTGATTCTCACAAAGGAGAACCCCAGTTTTCCAGTACCTAAAAACAAGCAAATGTTTTCATTAAAAGTGTTGAGCAGCAATCATCATTTGTACATTTACAGAGCCGAGTGTACCTTATAATGTCTATACCTGTGCAAGGTAGCAAATATCCTGCCCAGAACAGAAGCACAGAAATAAAGCGTCCAGTATCATGCTGAATTTAGAGAGAGACCTCACAAAGCCAAATTCACTCTTCCCAGATTTAAGTTCTTGGATTGGAAAGGAATTAAAAAAAAAAAAAAAGCTTGGTACCAGTGAATAGATATATCTGAAAAGGTGTTACAATTTTTTCCTAGTGCACATTACAGGAAAATACTTTGGAGCTTATAATGTAGGAGGCAACAATCTAAAAAAAGGACTGAATGAAAAGCAAGTTCAAAGATCTGAAACTACTGTTTCCTGTCTAGCTAAAAGAAACCGTATTGCTCCTTCTAAAGAAAATGAAGATCATAAAATTAAATCTTACAGCTGTTATAACTGCAGCTACGTGGAAAAACATGATGGCAAAAACCAGATACCTGGTTTCACAGTAATAAAATCTCTCTAAGTCTGCTCTCGATCAGAACCCCTTCACTTTCCTTCTACACATGTAGGCTGAAAAACTGAGGCTTAAGTCCACTCAGAGCTGAACTGGAACAAGAAAAATTCAGTAGTCCCACCCCTGTCATCTTCCTAAATAGTTCTGAATGCCTAGAAGATATCTACGGTTAAGAGCAGAAGACTGAGCCAAAAAAAGATTGCTAGTTTTTGACAACACTGTTATAGGGGCTGCTTGATTTGTGACTACGGAATCAGGTGTGTTGGGGGAGTCAAGTCCAAGTCAGATAAGTTTTGGTGACCAATTTTCATTCCCTTTGTTGGCTAATAGGACCTTTTGCTCCATGACAGGCTAAGATAAAAGCAAATGGGCAATAAGGAGGAAGTGTTATTATACTCAGTAACTTACCTAGCATTTTGCTTACATAGGGTTCAATGTCCACATCCTGCAGGTGCTGATATGTGTGCGCATGATAGAGCCGGAGTGTGGAATCCAAGCGAATTGATACCCATACCCCATCACCCACCCACGCCAGCTGTCTCACTTGGCTCTCTTTCCTTGGATGTGCATCAAATGATTTCTAGGGAAGATATTTAGAATTAAATTTGTAATGGCAAAGGCAAGAGCTTTCATCTCAGTCACTTTAGATACTACAGATAAAATGTTTTAAGCAGAAATTTGGTCAAGATTCTTAAAAACAGTCCTAGCAATTGTAGGTGCTGAACAAAGCCTTAAAGATTTACCCCACAAGAAGCACTGAGCTCTAGAAAGTCAGGTCCTTTTAATGCGTCTCAAATCTGATCACTAGTCCTTTTGGGGAATTTTGGCTGTTTTCTTCCTCTGTAGCATGCTATGTACAAGGACAATCTAGACCCAACAGCTTACACATCAGGATAACTAACACTGAAGTCTCCTGCCACAAGAAGGAGAATGCCCTCTTAATAGTACATTAAAAACTAAACTAAAAAAACAACTCCTGGAAATAGGACCATGCAAAGCTGAATTGTATGAGGCAGCCAATGGATGGGAAGAGAATAAAGTCCAGTGCATCAAGAGCTCCCTCATAACATGATACATACAGTTAGTTATCAGACGCTATTCTCTGGTCCTGGTTAGGAAGGCAGTGGTACAAAACACAGGTTGATAAACAGAGATGGGACAAGTTTTACCGTCAAAGAAGATTTTAAAGCACAGTGAAGGGAAATTATCCTTTCACTTGTAGGGACATGCCCCCCAAAGGCATTAATTTGCTAAAAAATAGTCCGTTTCTATACATGAAAAAACAGCTTTCTGTCCTATGGATTTAAGACAATAAGTGGCTGTGTGCACATGCCACAAAGACAATGGCAACACTCAATTATTTCAACTGAAACACCAGTGAAACTTGCCTCTATTTTCATGGCCTTTGGTTGAACAACATAAATTTTGTTCCGGTAACCACACCAGACTTTGTCGTGTACCACAGTCATGCAACGGATAGAGTGATGAGGTCGACCCAGGTCTAGGAGGTGATAATTTGTCAAGTCCCACTGACCATCTTGAAAATAAGAAAAGGAACAATCCAGTGTTTTAATTAATCTGTGTGCACAACTGCTGCAACACACTGGTACATTTCTCGTTTTAGAATAATCTTATTCAGATTCCAGATATGATATACACCTTTATAATCTTATTTCAATAAGATACAAATAATCTTATTTCAGATATGATATACACATTTTCAAAAAGTTATTTCAAATTCCGGCTGCTTTTTTCATTAAGTAACAAATGTGTGGATGCTTAGTTTCTAAAGAACCAGGTGCTATTATTTTGTTCTTATAGCATCTGCAAGCACAGCGACTCATTAACACCAAAACATTTAGAAATCCACCAGTAGATATATACTGCTAAATGCAGTCCTTAGACAGACACATAGGTGCAATAAGCAATTATCTGTATGTAACACTGGACATCAACTGTTTTTACTAAGCATGGTAAAAAATAGACTTGTGTGCTGAGGTTTCTTTCTACATTTTCCTCACTAAGCCACAAAATCTTTAATTGCCAACTGCTAGGATTTCCAGTTACCGTGGAAGAAGTTTGCCAAGGCTACACTTGGTAAATGAAACTGGCAATACAATTTGACACGGTACTTGAAACATTAAAACGCCTGTAAATGCTTGTTGTATAAAAAGTCAGTAAACACAGATAATAAGAGCATGCATTTTCTTTTTTAAATAAAACATTTCATAACTGTACATTTACTAAGTTGTTACAAAAGTACATCTGCACATCCACAGCTTCAAAATCTTATGCCAAGACACTTACCAACTCCTCTGTGAAATATTGCTAACGTTCCGTCAGCTAGTGCAACTAATACTATTCCTTTAACATGTCTAGGAAGAGAGAGAGAGAGAGAGAGAGAGAGAATATGAGGTAGATAGATACGTCACTAAGCTTATTCACACTTAATGTAAAAGCATTCTAAAAACATGATGCATCTTACAGTAAATATATAATTTAGAGTTTAGCATAATTTGATCAATTTACATTCAAACATATTTTTTTTTGCAGAGTATAGTTTATTAAGTGGAAGGGCTGCCATGGAGAAATTGAAAAGAAAGCTGAGACAGCAACAACTACTACAAAGCCTGCAGGAAGGGTCTCAAGGAAAATTCTAGTCTGTGTAATTTTTTCTTAATACGTGAATCTCAAAAATGAGCCTCGTAGCTGGTACACATTGCATCCCTCTTGCTCTTCTTGCTTCTCCCAGTGCTGACACTGCCACCCTCCTTCACCCCTGCCCATCATTTTCCCCCAAGAGATTAACTTATGAACATTAGCATCCCAACACACAGAGTAGAAATGAAATTAAACTACACAGTAATTATTCTTAGAAAGGTTCACTTTTAAAGATTGAGAAAAGACTCTTACAGATCAACTTACACAATACTGAGAATAGAATCTTTAAGTTTAATGGCATGAACACATTTCCTCCACTGGGCCACTGAAGAATGAACATACAAGCTGCAAGGACATAATTGGGATGAATTAAACAAGAATACTGCCACAACCATGGTAATGTCTAATAAAAAGTATCAATTTCAGCCAATGTAAAACTATAATTAAATCTGAGGGGCAGGAAAGTAAGTTTCCCTCTCACACTGAGAACTACAGAACAGGTGATGGCTGAACTACGTTGTCCAAGTAGGATGTAAGCCGGCTATCTAATGCATCATCTCAGCTGATAACCAAATAATTTGAAATTAAGACACTAAGGTTTTTTTGTTTTGTTTTTTAAAGTGATACACAGTATTCAATACATCTGAATCCCTAGACTGTACTATGGATCATTCAATGTAGAACATCTTCCCACAGACAAGAGAGACCACTTTATCTACCTTCGGTTTTGCAAAATTAAAATATATTCATTAACAGAACTACAACAAAGCACCCAATATGTTCAATGATGCAGACCCTATGGGTATCTGTACATGCACAGGGAGGTTGCACTAATTACAGCGTGTCGGAGCAGAATCGATTCGTTGAATCAATTAATCGAGTCTGCTGGAACGCGCTAATTAGCGAGCTCTAGCAGCCTCTGCATCTTGTGCATCAGAATCTCTGTGCGTCAAAACAGTGGCAAGAGCGCTTTAACGAAAGCTCGTTTGGCAAGTACAGCGATGCTGATACACAAGATGCTGCGGGCACTTTAATTAGAGTCGAGAGCTGCTGTAATTAAAGTGCCCACCTCGGTATACATGTAAACACCCTACAGTGCTGAAGCATAGCACAGAACGCAGAGGCTTTACTATAGCTTATGCCTCCAAATTTTCTTTCTTTCGAGGATTTCTCCTATTTTGTGTTTGCTTTTTGGCCTTTAAGTTCATAAACTGTCTCAAGAGGCAAGTTTAAAGTGACTCAACTTCCAACTTGAATAGCTACAAGTCAGCATCGTCTTACCATCCATTCTGTGCTCCCAGCCACATTGTGGGTAAGAGGCTGCTCATTTTCTGTGCTTCCTCTCTCACAAGATCCTGTTCATTTGGCAACACTGCTACATCTTTATACAGGTCTGACTCACTACGGATTAAAAAAACAAAGTAAAATGGCAAAAGCAGTCTGAACATATGCACAGAATACTCAGGAGTATAACCTGGGCAATCAATTCAAAGCTATTCAACACTCAATGCTATAAAACAAAACTGAAGGAAAGCAAGACTTGTACCAAACGCACCAACTGTTCAGGTGAAGCTGACTCATTTCCAGGGTACAAACAGATGCATGGATTGTACTGATATCAAGTGATACCAAGATAAACTTTTATAGTATAATCAGCATATTCCTGTAGCAACACAGCAAAGTCATTGCAACTTCAACCCTGTTTCATTCAGGATTAAAGTTTTAACAATTTAGCCTTTCTGCCGACGTGACACTTATAGCCTAACAGCTCCCCGCCGCCTTATAGAGTTACATTTGTCCATAGCCCCAAAGGGCATTCCTTCATGTAAATGCTTACATGGGATTTATATTAAGGTTGCATTTTATGTTACCATTTCCTTGTATACATACAGTGGCTTACATTAAGAGCAGCCGAGAAGAACATTTGAAGGCGTTGAAGAATTTCAGGAGTTTTATATTTGATTAGATTAAACCAATGGGGAGTTCTTATGAACTACATTCATGCTTTTTGCTAACTACAGTGAGCTGGAATGAAAAAGAAGCAGCATATCTGAAGAGCCAACTGATCTGAGTAAAATTAGAGAAAGACTGCTTCACTTAGACAGAAGTGTGTGACCTTAACCTGTTCTGGTATGGCTCAGCAAAAACTTCACCAGGATAGTTCAGCAAAATGGTGAGGTCAAAAGAATGAGCAGTTTAACAAATCGACGGATATGCTGTCTTTTGGAGGTACCAGACACAAGACTCAATGAATTGACCTAGACACTGGAGGTCATGTTATAAAAGCATGATTGTACAAGATATTCTACTTCGGTATCATACAAAAGAAATGACCTGCACTGAACCTAAAAGACACCCTGCTGTTATGAATGGTTTTACAGGTTAGGGCTTCAAAGTACTTAGGTGTAAAATTTCACATCAGTTTTACCCTACTCTATGAGCACTTGAACACATTATGAAAACTGGCCTTTTTTACGGTTTAATTGCATCATGCTGTACACGTGCAGGGGTTTTTAAAATTTAAATGAGTTTGCTATGTTGCAAACTAAACCACATCTGCATGAAGTTTAGTTTGTAACGTAGCTATCTGTAACGTTGCGGCCTTTGACAGCTCGCCCTCCCACTGTGGGAGAGGCAGCTGAAGGCAGAAGCAGTGAGAGGCACAATCCTTTTTTTTTTTTTTTTTTTCCCTCTTTCACCCCCAAGGAGCCTGCCTGCATCTGCCGTGGCCAGGGGGCAAGCTGCCAGTGGACTGAGCGGCCCCTGAGCTGCAGGGCCCTGGTCCTTCCTTCTGTGGTGGCAGCAACCCCCGCAGTCACCTAGGTGGGTGCTGCCCCAGCTCAGGTTCAGGGAACAGTTTGATTGGGCTGGGTGCTGCCTGCAAGCTGGGGCAGTATCCATCCACTAGCCGCCAGCCTGGGTGAATGTGAGGGGTGCTGCTGCCATGAAGGGAAGGTCTGGGGCCCCTTGCAGCTCAGGGGCTGCTGGCAACTCACCCCCTGGCCGTGGAAGAGGTGATTAGGCTCCTTGGAAAGAAAAAGAAAAAAGGCCCCTCTCTGCTTCCCCCCGCCACTCAGCAGAGCCTGCCCACGAGCTGCCACTGGGCTGTGCAGCTTTTGGAGGCAGGGCCCAGTCCTTCCCTCTGCGGCAGCAGCACGCCCCAGGCAGATGCAGCCCCTGCTTGCAGGCAGCCCCTGCCGGATCCAACTTTGCCCTGAGCCTGAGTGCTGAAAGTCTGCCAGGCATTGCTCTCCATGTGGGCTCGGGTAAGAGCTGGATCCAGTGGGTACTGCCTGCAAGCTGGGGTAGCACCTGCACAGCTAGCAACCTACCGAGGCAGCCCCGGGTGGCACTGCCACTGCAGAGGGAAGAACCGCAACTCAGGGGCTCCACCGCCTGGCAGCAGCTCACATGGGCAGGCTCCGCTGAGGGGGGAGGGGAAAAAAGCAGCAAGGGGCCTGATCCTTTCCCCCCTCCACCCCCATGGAGCCTGCCCACCTCTCCCATGGCTGGAGGGTGAGCTGCTAGTAGGCCCTGAGCTGTGGGGGTCCCCAGACCTTCCCTCCATGGCAGCAGCGCCCCCCAGGTGGCACCTGCACACTAGTAGTCCACCCACGTGGTCCCAGGGAAGGAGGCATCATCACAGAGGGAAAGACGGCCCCAACCCAAGCTCAGGGGCCGCTTGTCCCGCCAACAGCTCGCCCCCCAGCCATGAGAGATATGGGCAGGCTCCGTGAAAATAAATAAAGGATCGGGCCTTTCACTGTAACAGTGACAGAAGCCCCTAAATTGAAGTGGTGGGTTTTTAATTGTCACAATTAAAAATCCACTGTGTTTCAATTTAGGTGACTAAACCCCCGTCACATGTACAACTGGCCTAAAATAGAATTTAAGCATTTTGGTGGGGTGAACATTGATGAGGTACCTAGGTGGGTATGCTGGAGAACCCTCTGCTGTACTCTGCACGCCCAAAGGATCTGTAAAGACATGCTCTGTGTAAACTCCAGTCTGGGAAACATCAGCTACATCTTCTCCTGTCCCAGCATTGACTTCCGTTGCCTCTGTTGCCTCTTCTGCTGTTGGGACATTTTCATCCACCACACCACTTTCAGCTGCAGCTTCTGTGAAACAAGTACTTCAGTTAAAAATCAATTTGAAAGCAACCCTGCATATAACAATGCAATGCAAAATTAACTTGTGCAAATGTTAAATCCTGAAATCTGGCTACAGTACGACAGTTAACACTTATGGAAAGACCTAAGCATCTTTAATGACCAGACGTGGTGTAGATCTCTACTTTACATCTCATCTAAGGACTGCACCATTAGGACAACGTTACTGTGTTAGGGTGTCAATACGGATTGGATGGAAACACCTTCTCAATAAAGCTAGCCATTGCCATTTTTGGTATCACCAACATGATCATGGGAGGTCTGTCATGTAGGTACTTACCAGGTTCCCCAGTGAAATTAGACTGATCCAAAAAAACCAAAACACAATACTGAAAGATCAAAACAGCTTACACTCATGTCAAGTGAAGTTCTACATGCTAGCCTATTAGTAATTTTAGACTGTCAGACATCACAGAAAGGAGCAGAAATTCAGAGAATCGTCAAGGCTTCTGTAAGTGAACAGATTCTCACCTAAAACCTGGATTAAAGTGTCCAGCTGATTAACACAGCTTCTACACTAGCCAGACTACTCTAGTCTGGGGTGAGGGAGGATACCACTCATGTCAGATGTTTAGCTCAAGCCTCTAGCCACAATTTTTTCTGAAGAACACTTGCAAGATAAAGTTCTCATCCGTACCAGAATTTACAAGGAATGAGTCACTGAAGATCCATACCCATTTAAAATCCTTTTACGATGTTTGCAACTACACAAGATTATCCTAGTCACAAACCATTCTCAGGGAAATATTGTAAACCAAAGTAGTGCATTCAAGGAGCTAATTTTCTACTGAACTCCAGCTTCTGCAGCCTCCATTTCTCAATGATTCCTAATGGGAGTTTATCATCCTAAGTGAATGATGAGTATTTTCATACCTGGCTGTTTATCTGTTGCAGATGAGGCACCATTAGCATCATGAGCTAGAGGTGGTGCAGTAATGCCCTCTGCAGTACAACCAACCACTGTGATTCCACCTAACAGACTATCTGTTTCTGCAGAGCTGTTGCTGGTCATACTCCCACACAAAGAGGACTTGTCCACTTGACTGGAATCTGCTTCTTGTGAGCCCTCTTCCCCTGCAGGATAATCTGTTTCCCTAGCCCCTGTAAGACAGACGAAGCTGCATGTAGTTTCTGGGATGTAAAAACACAGTCATTGCTTTATCTTTGAAAACAAGTGGAAAGATTTGTAGTCTACAATGCCCGAGAGACACAGAAGCGCAGCACACCATAAAGCTTGTTCTGGCATAACACCAAGAGCCACCTAGAATTAAGGCACGCCCAAGAAACTGAAAATGGGCAAAGTGATCTGGAGGTGTACCTTTGTGCTTTGCATGTCACATTTGCAACCAGGGTAAGAATGGATTTCCTAACAGCTTTGACAAGTGGGAGATAAAGGCAAACAGGCCCTCATTTATTTTGGTTTATTCTAATGTAATTACACAAGTTTAAGAACTCATTTTTTGTTTCAAACAACAAGATGCATATAACATTCAAGCCAATCCCATTAGTTTGGACTGTCATATGTACAGGCTAACTCTACAAAGGAGATCCAATAGGGTAAAGTTCAAATATACCAACCTTCACACCTTCGGGGCCTGCCCAACTGTTCCCAACTCGACTTCAGCACCTGCTTTCCTATACAGCCCCTGTACACTATACTTCTCCCAAAGCCTCCTGCATATGCACCTTCACATTTTCTTTTATGCTGCCTTTTATGCATAAAAGCTTCCTTGATTTTGCTGTGTAAAATTACTAGCTTCTCATTCATATATCCAATCAAAAGGACTTGCGCTTCTTCAAAGTCTATTAGCAAGGTCTCCCCTGAGGCTAATTTAATGCATTTTCATAAACAGAGGCTAAAATAAACTCCACAATGTAACTAACCTGCCTCTGAAAATATAGCACCCACTTTTTTTGCCTTCAGACTCTCCATAGCTACTGTGTCTTAATTGCAGCTTTGATTTTACAGTAAGTGGTATAATCTCCTTAGCAAAGGGTGCTTTTATAAGTAAATAGAGGCATTACTCAGTTCTGCAGAGCTAAAACCGAAAAACAGTGTAATTCTTTCCAAGTGTGGTAATGTATGGAACACTACCCCCCCACAAACAGCCTCATCCAAATAAAATGGATAGAGATATTGGACCAGATTTTTCATCCAGGTAAGTCGCACACTGCCCTGGTGCAATTAAGGACTGTTGCAATATATGTCAAGAACCAATCCCAGGGAGTAGAGGTGGCAGAAATCTAGCACAAGTCTAGGATAAGCTTGAATCTATTTTCCTTTGACTGCATTGTAGATGACAACATTGCAAAGTCATTTGATCATGCTAACTATAGAACAGCATTCAATTTTGGCTTTTATTTTCTAATAAACCATCACTCATATTAAAATTAATGGGAACTAATGAGTCTGATTCTCTTACCTGGTACACTAGCAATACAGAGGACATGAGAATTGCAAACAATGAAGCTATCTAGAATGTTTCCTGGCTGGTTAGCATCAATAATGATAACTTTTGTAGCAGAATGGGTGCTAGTACAGATCCAGACTAGACTCGACAGTTCCTCCTGATGTTTCAACTCCTTCTGTTGGTCCTGAAAGAGAAGATCAAAAGAAGAGTGACAAAAGGGGAAAGAAAGGGAGCAAATGAAAATGCCAGTAGTCCTATAGCATCATTTGGGTTGCAAGTTTAGGACAGCTAGGCATAGGTTTAATGCCACGAAAAACAATCTGTTTTTCTGCATGGAAAGGGAAGCTATAAAGTTTGTGGTTTTTTAACATATGTAGAAAACAAAATACAAAAAGTAACGAAGCTATGCAGACAATTACCAGCAACTATGTCAAACTCGTGATGTTAGAATGACAATGACATTTACATGCCTGCAAGCTCAGTATCACCATCCCCAAGCACTTAAAACTCATGCCCAAAATCATGAGGCTAGCTTAAAAAAAAAAAACAAAGAAAAGAAAAAAAATGCTTTTTAAAAATGAGTTGGGTTCCTTTTCTTTGCCTTCTGGTTTTCTGAGCCTGTGGGGGGTTACTCCAGCTGTTCAAGCTTTGAGCCCCATCAGCCAAGAAGGCAAAAAAAAATATCTTTTTAAAATGGAAGATGAGACGCACATGCAATTTCTTGATGCCAGCAGCTACAACTTTATAATTTCACATCAAAAACTTGCAAGACTCACAATAAAATTCTGAAAACTGGCAATACTGGCTTGTGTCAAACAAGACAGACTCTGTTTAAAAAAAATGTAGCTGTTTAGATTTACCACCAAGCTCGCAAACAGACAAAATGTGAACATTTCAGTAGGTGGATTCAGTCATTTCAATGCATCATGAATAGGTTCAGTGCTACCTGACAAAACTCAAGTGGTCTATTGTTAAATAGTAAAACAGATTACCAAGTAAACTACTGTTCTAAGACAGACTGGAATGATGATATTTAAATAAGAAAAGACCATTTCTAAGCATTCTACAATAGCAGATCTTACCTTCAGTTCTTGGTCTAGTCTGTCTAAGCTACTTTGTGAGCCTGTTCGCTGCTTGTGGCCATCTGCTTCCAAACCTGCCACATCATTGTAGAATACACTAGCACCAACCACAGAGCCTCCATCTCTTGTCTTCCCTCCTGATAAGTTCACTCCTACAGCACACCACAGCTTGAAAGAGAAGAATTCATGAACATTTCACTTGCAGAATACTTGGCTTTCTGGCTTATAAAAGGAAGGCCTAAGTACATGGTAAAACAACAAGAACATGCCAGCACATTGCTAGACCACTCCAATTAATGTTAGGGTTCAAGACACCGCAACTGTCCTTTCTGTTCAAGATTAATAGTAAATTGTTTGTTCATAAGGCAGCAGCTGAGATATTATATATAGGGAGCCTTAACTAAAACGACTAATTTTTCTGCTACTGCCTGTGCTCTGCACCACCTATGCATTACAGATTTAACTTTATTACAAAGAAGAATTAAAAAAAAATGTAATCCAGACATTAGGGTTTGTTTTAAACCAAGCAAGTGATCGGTTTAGTGTGTCTTGTGTCCTTATCAAGGGCATAGTCTCTCATTTATGTAACTTTAACTCCTACCTTCATAGAAGTATCCTTTTCGTCTAAGGGTCTCAGATAGACAGGCACAGGCAAATTCTTCATCTTGTTATCTCCTTGACTACCATTTGCTACCTAGGAGGGGCAAAAAGAGAGAGACGTTCCATTTCTTGAAAAATGTTTTTGAAACCAGAAGTCCATTGGTCATAAGAAGTCAGTCACTTTCATTCTCAATACTTGCCTTTGTTTTATGGTTTCACTTTATAAAACAATTAATAAAAGGAATATGATAAAGAGACAGCTCCAAAGTAATCAGGTTATCCAATGATCAAGAACTCTATGGGATCATGCAGTCACTTTAGGAATCATCTGTATTATAAGCTTCAGTCCAAATTATTATCAAAATGACAGCACAAGGTTTGGGAGGAATACTGATGAGACAGTCCCTACCCCCCAAAGGCTTGTTATGCCTCCACCAATAATACTGAAGCCCCACAGTTCTCTCAGCTAATGATTATATATATATATATATATATATATTTTCTGAACAGGGGCTGGGCCTCAAGATGTTTGTGGAAAGGAAAGATATGGAGTTTCACCCATAGTGACCCTGAATGTGCCATCATCACTTTACACGTTATAGGTTTCATAATTCTGGATGTCAGGAGTATACTCATCTTTGAGATTTCACTGCTCAGATATATTATAAATATATTTATTTAATATTGAGAGTGCATACTATGACATACACTAGAGCAAGTCCCAGGCATAATACCTGTTTGTACTTCTGAGGCAAACTCCAGCCAAATGCTTGCACTCTGCCATCTTCCTTCTGAACATGTGCTTTCACTTGACGGTACTGTTCTCTCTTCTGTTCTCTGCGGGAGGCTAAGCTGGCTTCTGTCCTAGTGGTAAAATGATTTATTTTTTAAAGTACTAAATTACTCGCCTGTCCCTTCACCCACTGTGTATGTGTTCCATACTGGTCAGGCTTAAACCAACTACAATAAACTTAAGCCAAATTTTTTTCAGAGATATTCAACAGAAACACACTAAATGTCATGGCTCAAAATATCAAATGAGTTTGGTTTTGTGCTTTGTCAGTGGTCTCATTCAAACATATTCAAAGAGTATTATCAACTTTTTTTCTTTTTTTTCCTTTTTAGTTTTGCAGGGTTTGGAGGAGAGGGAGCAAGAATTCAGCTGTCTGCAGGAATTCTGCAGGAATTCAGCTAAAGATGACACACACATTTTTCCTCGCTTGGACCTGAAGAATGCACTGAATTCAAAAGCTTATTTAAGTCTCTCTCTACCCATGCAGTTGATCCAATAAGAGATACTTCCCCAAAAAAACTCTTTGCAACTTTCATACTGCTGTATAAGCACTGTTTTGCTTGGTCCCACTAGAAGTCCATCACTACAGAAGTTCCTAAAACTGCTGTATTTAGTTGCTTCATTTATATTCCCAATTATCCAACTTTTTTCTATTGTAACTGTACAACCTTTAGAGAGATTCATCTGCATCTTAGTGCTAATGAACATGTATGTTTATTTAGATGATTAAGTATTATAAAATACTTCCTGTGATGAGATAACAAATACAGATACTGTTTACACAGCATCACATTTTGTTGAATTTGAACTTTAACCATTTTTTCTGAACAGGGGCTGGGCCTCAAGATATTTTTGGAAAGGAAAGATACAAAGTTTCACCCACAGGTGACCCTGAATGTGCCATTATCACCTTACACGTTATAGGTTTCATAGTTCTGGATGTCACGAGTATACTCACCTTTGACATTTCACTCCAGAAACAAAACTATTGACTTCTTAATCATGTCTGTGGTTATTTAATTGCCCTTTATCTGTGCCCGTCTTAATACACATTACTATTCATGTCATTAATTAATTAATTAAAGAACCATTACTATGAGAAATTAAAATTGCATCTTACTCTTCACTGAGGAAGTCAAAGGCTTTAGATTTGTCACTAGGTAGCTGAGATAAGGTGCTGCTTCTTTTCTTGACTGATGGGGTAACATGTGAGGTTGGGGCATTATACTTAAGATTAACTGGTGGCTCTGGTTTCTTTGCTGTATTGCTTGATGAACTGAACAGCCTGCTGAAACTGAAATATATGACACAGCATAAGTCCATATACACCCAAGAGAACTCATTTCCATCTGTATATAACAGCACTGCCCATGCTATCCCATTCAAAGCAACAAGTAAGAAGTCAGGAGAAGCTGGAACTAAATAGCAGCCATTAGAGGCTTGTTAATTGCCTAAGCACGGCCTTAATTTTGGAACCCAGGTCAACAGGAAGACTGCTGATCCAAACAGTGGCATGACTCCACCCTCTTCCTTTAAAGGAAAGTGAGGTCTTAGGTTTCGCTTGAATATTAATCAGAAACTAATAAATGTTGCTTTCATCCAATGTCTTTCAACATCTTATAGTACACAGGTGAACCATTACCAATAAATAATGACAGCAGTAAGAAAACTTTTACCTGGATTTCAACATCTGTTTCCCATTTCAATTAAATTGTTTATAACTTGAAGTTTAATATAGTAAAACTAAACATTAGTTAGTAACCGTTGTTTCAGAGGGAAAAAGTTGAAATAATATAGTGACCGTACAAGAAGCTATTAACATTTCTCACTACTTTTTTATATTATTAAGAAAGGAGGCTGCCAAAATGCCTAAAGAATGTAGATTCCAGTTCATCTTCAGATTTAAAAAACCCCCAAACAATCCATTATTTGAATGTATTATGAATTTAATATTTTAACTCAGCTCCACTAAGTGCCATAACCAATCACTACACAAGGTAGCTTAAAATACATTGCGTCTTTGAGAACAGCCATACCAAGCTGGCGTGCTAAACATCAATGTAAGCAGCTTCATTCCAAAGATGATTAACTGACAAAACAAATATATTTTAAGTGAACTATTTCACTTTTGAGGGGGTTTTTTTGTTTTGTTTTTTTAATTGCAGGTGCTTGTATTTCAATACTCACAACTGCCAAATGCTTGATCTCTTCTTTTCTTGCATGGCTGGATTTTCTCTTGATGCTCTGAAGAGAAACCCAAAGTTGATTAGACAAGCAATAACACAAAAAGTGAGGAATATAGTAGCGCACACACCTTTCCTTTAAAGAAGTCAAGACAATGGGTGTTGAAAATGTCAACACCTGCTTTTTTCACAAAAAATATTTCTCATCAAATAAGGGAGCACTTAAACTAGCACTGACTAAAAAGAATGCCCCTTTCAGCAAGTTAGATGAATATTCTCCACATTTTATCTACCTAGTCTTCAAAACCAGCTCTCTTTTACGGTGTCATTTTGTAAGCGTGGAAACCTCAGTGGATGCTGTTCAAGCCAGGAAAAATTTGGTTTAGTGGCTAAACAGTTGTAAAAACTGGAGATCGAAATTCTCAAACAGTGTCATGAGCGAGGACAATTAACTGGAAAACAATACATAACATTTCAGAAGATCAATTCACAGGAGATAATAGAGAAGGGTGCTGACGTAAATTGTATGCAGATTTTAGTGAGTAAAACCACATACAGAGGGGGAACTGCAGAAGAGAGCATGGCGGCTTCATTATCATTCAAATAGCACTCAAAAGAATAGTGGGTACTACTCGTCACACATGGAAACAGGACTTTGTGCCAGAGTTCAGAATGTGAAGACAAAGCATTCGGGGGAAGAATGCAAGAGAATTATTACTATCATTTTATCCCAGCTATTTTTTTGCACTCTGTTCAACATCAGATATGCATATTTCATTTTAACCCTCACTTTTTTTTTTTTTAAACTGCTTTTATTTTTAAACTTACCCTCATTCAGCTTAAAGTTGGTGGGGGGAAGGGGGGCACATGGAGAAAGGGAATGACAAATGAACACAAACCAACTATTAATATGCAGGAAAGAAGAACCAGAGGGGCAAGACTTGTTACAGGGTCAGGCAGTTCTTAAGATGCCTTAATACACCAAAGTTCAGAGTCAAATGGTTTACATCCACACTATATTTTAAGGACAGTATTATAGAAAAGTAAAAGTTAGGTGCAATCATTACATTTGGCCACTAGATGACAGCATGCTGTGGTAGAAAATTACTGGGTAGTGTGTGGCACCAAGTATAACAACAGACAAGGTGTGTCACTAAGGATCCAGGGGTATGAATTTGAGTCTTGCTCCAGATTCATGCTGAAAGACACACCCAACTTTAAATGGTACCTTTTTATCTGGGATGTTTGTATACAAGTTTATATATCATACCGGTCACATCCCTCTTCCATGCGGCTGGATACAAGCCTGGTTATGCCCTAACTGCACTAACCCAATGGGCTATCTAAGCTCCAAAAGACCTTTGACTTTTTTATAAGAAAGAAGTGCAATGAGAGGAAGCACCATATTGAGGTCAGAAGTGAAGAGACATGATTAGTTAGCATCCTTTCTGGACATCCGCCTCCCGGGAAATTTCTTCAACATTCAGGACAGTGGCTCATTAGGACTATTTTCTAGGGTTGCATGAAGCCTCAGTCCCCAATTCAATTTGGCAGGGATTTGGCCCAATTCAGTGGCCAAATCTCCGAATTGAATCAGAGGACCCTTCAAACTCTCTGAATCGAACTGGAACCCTCCAAATCAATTCAGAGAGATTTGGTCATAGACACAGTTTTAAATGTTTTTTCTACATAGCTCTAGGTAACAGGCAGCTCGTGAATGCTGCGATACTGGGGCGCATGGAGTGTCCCACAGAAGCATAGGGGGCTTTCCCAGCACACTCGGCAGCAGACCCGGAAGCGGACCAAAAGCACATCTGGGTCCGCCAGGGAACACGCTGGACCTCCTCCCCCCCCCCGGCTCGGTGACTGGTGCTTCCTGGGTCTGGGGGCGTACCCGGGGTCCCCCTGTGGCCAATTGCCGAGCCAGAGGGGCATGGCGGGGGCAGCACACTTGCCTAGCAGACCTGTAAGTGGACTGGAAGTACTTCCAGGTTTGCCACCGAGCACATGGAGGGCCCCCCTGCACTCCTGTGGGATGCTCCATGCGCCCCAGCATCGCAGCGATTATAAGCCGTGCCTGCTACACCTCAAGGTATGTAGAAAAAACTTTTAAAAGCTGCATCTATGTCTGAATTGCTGATTCTCTGAATCGGCATCGAATCTTCAGATTAGGATTCAGCCAAATCGAATCAGGGACAGCAATCCGAATCAATGGATTGAATCACTGTCCTGAATCCAAATTGAATAGGGCCCGTTTTGCACACCCCTACTGTTTTCCTATACCTCATCTTGATTTTCTTAAGTTGGCCAAGAAACTCTAAATTACTCTTAAGAATTACATCTTCTCCATAATAGAAAACTTGATTGCTTGTATATGGTAGGACTTGGAAATCCTACCCATCTTCAGTGCCCCTTGGTGTAGAGCAGTAATTCTCCGCCAGGCTATTTTGGCACCCTGAGATGCTTTTAAGGGTGATGCAGGGTGCCACTCAATATTAGTGGTTAAGTGTGCAAACACCTACACATAATTCACAAGATAAAGCCAGAGATTTCAAACAGGAATCCAGTGTCCAACCATTTGGACCCCTATGGCCTTCCTGCATTTTTTTGCAACAGAAGAATTGCTCTTTTTTCAGTAGTCAATAAATAAACAAACAAATAAATCAACTGAGTGCAAACTAAGAGCTGCTATTTTCTAAGAGCTGTCTTGAGTCTATAAAAAAGGTCGAGAACCACTGGGCTAGACACTGGACAGAGCAGAGAATTTCTCCTGCATTAAAAATACAATCTAGGACTGCAAACACTTATACATGTACTTAACCTCATATGGTGCTTGTACTCCTTTTTTCTTCAATGGTACACTTTGCACAGTATGCCAGGTTGAACACTTGCTTAACCTGTTAATGGATTATGACTTAATTTGACAATATAAAGAAGTAAAAGGATAAACAGAGGCTCTGTTTAACAAGAAGGGGGGGAAAGCTAGTTCAAGGTCACACAGAAGCTCAGTAGTATATCTTAGAAAATGACTGAATGAGCTCAGTGGCCCATGACTAGGCCACTGATTTGGGGGTACAACTGGTTAGCAAATTATTAAAAGATCAGAAGATCCTGTCTGCATTTACCTTATCATCTCAGTCCATCGCACAGCTTCCTGAAGCTCCATCAGCCTCTCTTTGTACTGATTTCTTTCCATCAGAACGCGAGCCATTTCAACGCGAGTAAAACGCTTCCGCTGAGCGGTGGGGACATCACTCTGCATAAAATAAAAGCAAGCTTTCAGTACAAAGAAACAGGTAAAGCCAGCACCCAGCTGACTGGAACAGTGTCAGTTGAATTAGTATCCTGGATTACTATAATGCTATTAAATTATTCAAGTCAGGACTTTGGTAGCCAGGAACCAAACCATTTAGAGCTTTGTAGGCCAAAACTAACACCTTGAATTCAACCCAGAAATCGACTGGCCAGTGTTAACGGATTCAAAACCAGGTTGCTAAAGGGAATGGAATGTCATATGCAATACTGCGAAGGAAGGATATAAAGCTGGTGATTCTTTATAAATCACCACTTGACATGTAAATTGTGCGGCTCTGCCTTAGACGGAGTTGCATGCTTAATTGAGCTGTCGGTTTCACAGGATTAAGCCAATGCGATGGTACATTAAGAAAAATGCTTAGTCCAAACTTCATTTTAAAATATATACACCTACATCATCATCCTCTTTTGCTTTCTGCCTTGCTTCCTCTGCTTCTGCACGTGCTCTACAGAAAATAGAAGACAAGAAAGAGACATGTTAACTAAGCAGTATTAGAACGTGCACCCAACTTTCATGAGGAAAGTATCACAAACTGACTTTTTAAGCTCTTCTTCCAACTCCTTGTTCTTCTCTTCAAGTTTCTGTTTGGCTTGTTTTACAGCCTCCAATTCTCCTTGTAGTACATCTTTCTCACAGGTCAGCTCATCCACTTTTGCTATCAAATCATTTTTTACCACATTCAACGCATTTCTGAGAGAGATACAAAACACATGATTAGAACTGCAACCTCATAGTAAATAGCTTAGTTAACAGTAAACAGCAAAGTTCACTTCCCACATCTGGACATCTGCAAATAACTTCCCTATATAGCAGTGGTCACTAGCCAGTTGATCTCAATAGACTGGTCGATTGTGGAGCCTCTGACAGTCGATCTTAGTCTGTCAGAGGCTCCACGATTGGGAGCGGTAGGATGCATGTGGCTGGGCTGAGCCATGCCCCCTGCCACCCAGGCCAGGCGAGTGGGGCCAGAGCTCAGGCAGCTTGTCCGGGAGGCGGGGCGGGTATGGGGCAGGGGGGCAGTAGATCCCAGGGTGCCCCTTACTTATGAAATGTGATCTTCACCATAAAAAAGTTGGAAACCACTGCTATATGGTGTTGCATGCAGGACGTTACCTTATTCAAAAGCAAACTTATGAAGAACTTGAAACAAATTTGAGCCATTGTAATGGAAACAAGTGTAATTAAAAATTGCCATTTTGCCTTAAAAGCTGCTAACCAGTATCTAAGTAAAAGTATCCAAGTGAAATTAAAATATAACATTGGAACAACTTGCTCAGAGGCCAAGTTCCCACGTGGCATTTCAGTTGGTTGTCAAAACTGATGGAAATTGTGCAAAAATACTGGCTTTCATTGTCACAGTATTATCATTTCACCAAGTTCCTGATTCTCTAGGTTTTAGTGGTATGGTTGCAAAAGCACTGCTTGGTGGAATGCTGCAAACTCTAGACATGTGGATAAATAGAAGTTAGTATGCTGCTACTCCATTAGAAGAGGCTATTGGGGCCAAAATAACAAAACTAACACCCTGGCCATCTGAAGCCTCAACGTCCCATAAGGAAGGACAGTGTTGAAGCCATAAAATACACATCCAAGAAAATTTGCAAGACCTGGGTGCTAAGTTCCTCTGAATGCAGATGTCTGCATCTCATACTATGCTTGTTCTCTCCTTGGGAGTTCTCACAGTATTCAAAGAGTACAAGATTTCCTGATCTTTGTCATCAGTTTGTGTATCATTTTAGCACTCCCCTGGTTAACAAGAGTGCAGGACACTGGCAGAGAGCAAAAGTGCAAGTGACAGGCTGATGTGACCTTTTAGACTAAATCAAATACATTGTGCATCATTTACAGACAAATACAGTACGCAGAAGTGACAGCTCTGAATGCTAATCAATATTGCTTAAAAGTAAAAAGGTTTCGGTGCCTATCAGAGATCTTCTCTGGCTCTGTGCCTGCCTAGAAAGGATCACTGGAGGGAGAGGACAGGGTGTTACAGGCTGACTTACTTGGTCTCCAGCAGCTGGGTATTTTCCAGAATAAGATTTTCTACTTCACGGCCCATTCCTTTCAAAAACAGAACATGGGAATGAATTAAAGGGAAAAAAGGCAAACTATTTTTATAACAAACCAATTAAAGGCTACTTAATTTTTATTTAAAATGTGATTAACCTACACTTCAATCTTTATTTACCTAAATACATGGTATTCTGAAGCAGCTCAAAGTAGCAAAGTAAAAAATCCTCATAGCAAATACCTAAAGCATTTGTACCTGGCCCTTTTTACCTACTTGTACTTTTCTCTCTCCTTAAGTTGCTTAAAGGCAGTCCTAGCTCATAGCCCATAGAGTTTGCTGGTTTTTTCCCCAAATAAACTATATGCTTTTAATCTTGCTTTATAGTTACTATTATTTCAAATAGAAAGTAAAGGGCACTAATATAGAAAGTTGGCCCAAACATCTAAACCATTCACAATTTAGAATTCAAGCCTTTTTACAAAGAGCTTAGAGATGGTATATGTTATAACACACAAGATCTGCAGAAGACTCAGAGTTCAAGAGCGCGGTAAGATCTCCCAAAAGCAGATGATACCTTACCAAAGAAATTATGGTCTTTAAAGGCCATGCATTCCATGTAGAGCACAAACAAGAACAAGAAACATTTTATGTAAGAAGTATGAGTGAAGAGCAATAATAAACCTAGAGACTTCTAAACGGTAAGAGTGAATCAAAGCAAAGCCAACGGCAAAACAATGAAATGAAGTAAACTGCGGTTTAAAGCAGACTGAAATGCCAGACACATGGTAAAAATTTTATTTATATATATATATCTATATATATAGATATATCTATCTATCTATCTATCTATCTATCTATCAAGGTGTATTACCAAACAAGTTACCCTGAAACAACCTGAGTTACAAAAGTGTATAGAGGATTACAAAAGGTGATTTTCTCTTCTTTAACAAATTTCCAAAATGTAGTATTTTAAATGACTACTAAACCAAATCAGGAAGAAATGTAAACCAAATAAGCTATTATTTTAAAAAAAAATTTAAAATGAAGTGCTGAATTTAACTGATTTCACCGATACTGAATTTCTCTTTCTAAGAATTTACTGCATTTGGCCACTGTCTGTATGCTTGAAGGTTACAAAGGATCTAGTGTAAGATTTTAAAGTACTGCAATTTTTTTTAATGTGCAAACAGAACAGCAGTAAGGATGGTATGTCCTGTTTCTTAATTTGTACCAAAAACAACCAACTCTGGCATTATCTCCATATTGATAATAGAAGAAATTATGTCAGTTAGAGGCCAGCATTTCATAGCAAAACAAAACAAGTAAGGGATTACCCTGAAAGAGAAGTGCACACTACCAAATGTGCAGCATAGTCTTCCAAATTGTTTGCTAAAGCAAAAAACAAGCCTATTAAATACAAGAGAGATCAGTTCTTTTTGTACCACTAAAATAGTTTTTTTTTTTAAATAGAAATTCTAAAATTTATTTAAACCTTTTGACAATTACTGTATCATATTCCGCTTTTATTGATTCTGATAACAAGTAATAAGACGATAACATTAGAAGACTTGTTTTAGCAAATACCCATCAGGTATTTTCACTCTGGTACTATCTGTAGAAAGCACAGAAGTCCTTCTCTATACCAGTTATCAGGAGGGTTTTTTTCAGAGAACCATTTTGCTTTTTTGAAAGTTATTTTCAGATACCAAAGGTCAAGTGAATACCTAGGATGATTTATGCAAGGTGCCTTAACTGTTGGGCACCCCTAGCTGTCAAGAAAGTTGAAGGAGGTGGGGACAGGGGAAGTTAAAGTCAAAAAAGAAAAAAAAAAATTCAAGGACAAAAATGTGTTACCAAGCAGAAAAAAATGTGGAGAATGTATTGTATGAAAGCAGCAGCCAAAAACGCCTAACTGTAAAAGCGATAGATTTCAAAGTATTTAAAAGGATACACACCAGAATATTCCCCTGGGTGCGCAGCCCAAGAGAAAACATTAGAGAAACCCAATTAACTCACTTTAGAGCACTAGAAACTGAAATTCTAATTGGTTTAAACTTGTTTAGCTATGTAATTGCAATACAACCTCTCACAGACCAAATTACAAATATGAATGACATGAATTATAAGGGATGGCTCAACAGGTTATTTAAGTAATATCAATTCAAGTACTTGAAATCGGAAAAAAGTTGTACCGTGGCATGAAGCTCTCAAATGCAAGACGGGAACTGCAGAGGGCAGTTCAACTAAAACGTTTTAAAATGATGAAAGATTTAAATTGTAATAGATACAATCAGCACATAAAATTCAAGCTGAACTTTGACTTCCTGTACTGACAAAACAGACCTATTCATCTTCAGGTGGCAGCAGCTGGAAGACTTCTTCCCTGAAGTGAGTCAAGGTAAGTAATCACTGAGTGTTACCAGTACATTTTTTAATCTTGACCAGAACCCTTCCTGAAAATACCTATTTTATCTCCATTTAAGCTGGATCCAATAAGGCACCACAATAGAAGCTAATGGTGCAGCCCATCATGGACAGGCTGAAACAAGACGATTGAAATCATTCATGAATACTGACAAAGCACTTCAGTGAGAAGAGCTGAGCGTTCCACGCTGCAAGCAATACATCCATGTAGTAGCATGCCTGGGCACTCCCTACCCTTCCCCCTTTAAAAAAAAAAATCTCCCAAATCTCCCTTTGGAAGCTGCTACAAGAGGATCTTAATGCAAAGAACATGAAATGTATGTATACAGGAAGTTGTGATCAATTAGAAAAAAAAACCTAACGCAACTGGCTCAGTGTCATCAAATAACCAGTCTTACCCAGTAAATCTGCACCTTCATCCACATCTCCAATTAGGCCAGAGCCAGCAGAAGACAGCTCTTCAAAGAGTGATTCTGTATTCCGATCAAATGCTTTGTTCTCTATACCTTTGGTGGGCGTGCTGGTCAAAGGAATTGAAGTTACAAGGAAGAAAGATGAGAAAAGAGTAAATAGTCAAACACTGCATTGAGCTTTACAGGAAAGGGAGTATGTAGCTTCAGACAGATGCTACGTGGCTTTACATTTGTAGGTGATTTGTTATATATAGGAAAAGGACTTCTAGAAATGTTACTCAGAATTAAGTAGCTTAGGGAAGTAGAGGCCTTTTTCATAAATAACTTCAATGAAAACCCAAATCCTCAAAGGCATTTTGATATTGCAATGCTTCACTCCTAGGCATCCTGCCACAGCAAAATCTTCACTGAATTAGGCACCCAAGCCACCCCCTTAGGTACCTAGAGGAAAGGATTCTCAAACTAGGTGCGCTAAGAGCTGCCCAAGCTAGTTGGAAATAAGATACAGAATAAAGGGGTAGGGTTTAGGGTCTCATCATGTTCATCTGTTCAAAGACAGGGTACCTAAATCTAGCCAGATCAAGGGCCTCCCTGAACTAAGGAGAATGTTGTCAACATGCAAAAGGTGAGGATGCAGTTGGAATACGTGACGTTGCCACCAGTGAGCTTTGCATGGCATCACAATCTGTAGGGTAACGCTGTGATGCTGCAGCTTCAGAGGAGATGCAAGATTCTAGAGGTGGTCCTGAAAATAAATCCATGAAAGTCCATTTTGTAACAAGCTAATGTTCTGAGCCTTTGACAGAGATAGCACTCTCGCAGGTACCCTTATCTAGGAATGGGAAAAGTGTTTCAATGGCATGGCCATATATTCATTTGAAGCCCTTCAGATCCCACTCCTACCTGGAGCACTGTAAAGTTGGAGCCCTCCTGCACCATCTAGATCTGGTGCCACTTATGCTAGTTCAGGACTCACAACTTAGGAACCTTCTGACATGTGGAATTTGTCTACTGAAAATCAGAACATGTGACCTACCTTGAACCTTTATAGCCACTGAGGTCTTTATCCATATCCAACTCTGGAGTGGACTCAATGATTGCCTGAACTTCAGATTTTTCTTCATTTTCATTACCACCTTAGAAAGTGGAATAAATCAGTCTCCATAAAACAAGCCACCTTAAACCAGTCACAGAAAAGAAAGGTTCTGCTCATCACTGGCTTCACAAAAGTGTCACAGATAAAGTCACCCTGGACAACCTCATGTATGTTGTGGCAAGATCTTTGAATTCCACGGTACTCCAGTTCAGGCACTAGAAATCCCAGACCAGATGAGGTGACCAAATACAAGGAATACTGCATGTAATTAATTAATAAGCATTTAATTTAAAATGTAGATTTATAGTGCTCAGAGTTCAGATTCTTTCTGAACTGACGCTCAATACGCCCTATTCTTGCCTACTTTTGCAGCTGACCTGTATTGACTCATTCAGACAGAGTAGAGACAAGGCCTTACATCATGGAGCAGATCTTCCAAAAGAAAGTGATACAAGTTTTATTAATTAATTAATTTAAATCCAGAGAGAACAACATTACATTTTAAGAAAAAATTAAAACCACAAAGGAAGACAGACTAGATGAACTAATACTCTTTTTTTTTTTTTTCTTCCCCAAAAAGAATCCAGGGAGTGAAGTCAACACACTTCATGTGCTATGGAAAACAAGCCCAAGAGATAAGTGGCTTTCAGTTTAACCCTGTCAACATTCGGCCCTCCTATATGAAGCAATGCTAGGTACATTCACATCCCCTCCTGGTTGCAGTTGTGGGATTTTGCATTAAGCTGCACAAAAAACACCTTCTTTGCCACCTTTACCAAATCTGACAGAAACTTACCAATAGACACCGTTCTCGTTTCTTGAGCTACCTGCACTTCAATGTGCTTGCTTACATCTGATTTCTTGTCCAGTGCATCTGCGCTTTTTGCAAGCCCTTCAGCTTCCTCCTTCAGGAGAGTTTCAGCAGGTAGCACAGGCACATCTGAAGCTGTTGTTGATGCTGGAGTAGTAGATTTTGAGCCTGTTTGACTAACATCAGAAAGTTCATCCTAAAATTGAAAAATTACCACGCTTAGAAAGTTGTGTAATCTATAATAAGAAATACCTACACTGAAGAGAAGGGCACTCACAGATGGGTCTGCAGCTTCCCCCCCCCCCCCCCCCACCAAAAAACA